GCAGACCGCACCTCATCCACGAGTACCGCCTCACGCCGTACTCGCTGTATGCCGCGGTCTCGGTTGGGCTGGAGACGGAGAACATTATCGACGTGCTTGGCCGTCTGTCCAAGAATGCCATTCCCGCAGAGATTTGCGACTTTATTCGCGACTGCACCATCTCGTACGGCAAGGTCAAGCTGGTGCTCAAACACAACAAGTACTTTATCGAGAGCTCTTACCCGCAGGCACTGGAGAAGATTATGGACGACGAGGTCATTGCTCAGGCACGCATGCCGACCGACAGCTTCTCGTCTGGATTCTCCATCTCTGATGCGCCCACCGAGGGCATCTCGTTCGCAGCGATGGCCGCCCCCGACGAGGCGAATGGCGGCGCACGGGCGGCAGGCTCATCCTCCGCCGCGCCGAACGCCTCAGCCGGCTCTTTTCTCGAGCAGATGAATCGCGCGGAAGACGAAGCCGAGCTCCGTGAGGAGGTGGTCGAGCACGAAAGCGAAGAGCTCGCCGAGGTGCGACTCTTGCTGGAATCGACCGCGGTCGGCGGGCGCGGGCCAGTCCCTTCGTCGTCGTCGCTGCCGAATCGCAATCCCAACTCCATGGATACTCGCGCAGATGGCCATCCAACCGTCAAGCAAAGCAGCAGCGGCGACAGTGGTGAGGGCACACCGCAACAACAACAACAGCAACAACAACAACAACAACAACAACAGCAGCAGCAAGAAGCCGCGATGGACGCTGGCAGCCACGACAGCAATGGCATCACTTTCGACGACGCTGCTGCCACCGAGAACGAGAACGAGAACGACGCGGATGGCTTTGCAGACGCGGTCGCGCTTCCAGTGGGAGGCCCCAAAAAGGTCATGTCTGTGGAAATTATCAAAACCATGGTCGAAACAGTCAAAAAGCGGTGCATTGGCGCACTCGATTACCCACTCCTTGAAGAGTACGACTTTCGAAACGACACGGTCAATCCGAACCTGGACCTCGACCTCAAGCCGATTGCGACTCTCCGTCCGTACCAAGAAAAGAGCCTCAACAAGATGTTTGGCAACGGACGAGCGCGATCGGGCGTGATTGTCTTGCCGTGCGGCGCCGGCAAAACGCTGGTCGGCGTGACTGCCACTTGCACTGTGAAAAAGCGCACGCTTGTGCTGTGTACCTCTGGCGTTGCTGTCGAGCAATGGGCGCGACAGTATCAAATGTGGTCGACCATCCATCCCGACCGGATTGCGCGCTTCACGTCCGACTCGAAAGACCCGCCCCAGGACTGCGGCATTGTCATTAGCACCTATTCGATGGTGGCCTTCTCGGGCAAACGCTCAGCCGAGTCGGAAGTCATCATGCAGTTCATGCAAAACACCGAGTGGGGTTTGGTGGTCTTGGATGAGGTGCACGTCGTGCCTGCAGACATGTTCCGCAAGGTTCTCATGACCGTGTCGGCGCACTGCAAGCTCGGCCTCACGGCCACGCTCGTTCGCGAGGACGACAAGATTACGGATCTCAACTTTCTCATTGGCCCCAAGCTGTACGAGGCGAATTGGATGGATTTGCAAAAGCGTGGCTTTATCGCGCGCGTTTCTTGCGCCGAGGTCTGGTGCCCCATGTCGCCAGAGTTTTACAAGGTGTATCTTGAGACGCGAACGCGCAAGCGGCAGCTTCTCGAGTGCATGAATCCGTTAAAGTTTCAGGTAGGGTCGGTTGGAGAGGGGGAAGAAAAAACAAAAACTAAAGGATGATGGTCGTCAGCTTTGTTGTTGATTTGTTTTTTGTTTTCTTGCTTTTTCACAATTCCTCCCCCCCCGCCTCCCCCGCCTCCTCCTCCTGCTCCTCCATCAGACGTGCCAATTCCTCATTCGCTACCACGAAAAGCGCGGTGATAAAATCATCGTGTTTAGTGATAACGTGTTTGCTCTCAAGGTGTACGCGACCAAGATGGGCAAGCCATTCATTTATGGTCAGACGGGCCAGACGGAGCGCATGCGCGTCCTGCAGCACTTCCAACACAATGCCGGTCTGAGCACCATCTTTATCTCAAAGGTCGGCGACAACTCGTTCGATCTACCAGAGGCGAATGTCCTGATTCAAATTTCGGCACACTACGGCTCGCGTCGACAGGAGGCCCAGCGTCTCGGCCGCATTTTGCGTGCCAAGAAGGGCTCGCTCGCGGAGGAGTACAATGCCTTCTTTTACTCGTTGGTCTCGCAAGACACGTCGGAAATGTACTACTCTGGAAAGCGCCAGCAGTTCTTGGTGGACCAGGGCTACACGTTCAAAGTCATTACGAAACTGGAGGGCATGGAGGACATTCCCGATCTCGCCTACCGCAGCAAGACCGACCAGCTGGATTTGCTCACGACCGTCATCCAGGCCAACGACGCGGACGCCGAGGACGAGAAGCTTGGCGGTGATGATTTGCTGACGGGCGGAGAAGCGCGCAGTGCTGCCGGGGCGTCTGGCAAGAAGTCACGCAAAGCAGCAACGCGGCGGATTGGCAGCATGCAGTCGCTTTCGGGTGCTGACGGTATGGCCTACATGGAGACTTCTGTCGCCAAGAAGAAGCCACGCCTCGATCTTCGCCAAGAAATTCTCAGAAAGTACAGTCGTCGCTAAAACAGAGAGAGAAACAAAAAAAGGTGGTGTGATTTGCCGCTTGCAATCCGCTTGCAATTGTTGAAACACGCAAGGATGGCCCGTCATCCAAATAAATAGAGAGTTACAATGAAATACCACTTGCCTTGCCACTTGGCGAGAGCGAATGGGCAACGTCGAGACTGAAGCGACCTTGTTTTTGTTTGGAGAACACAAGTTCCACACAAACAACCATCTCGCCAACTCCCCTCACACATTGACTCAAACGAAACGAAAAAAAAAAAACCGCTACGCTCCAGCCCGGCTGCTGTTCGCAGCATTGTGAGAGAGACTCTGGAGGTTTTAATGAGCAAAAGCCGCGCCTTCTGTTCCTCTCCCCCTTTCTCGACCTCCTCGTCCCTTCCTCAGCACTCCAGTGATATCAAGTAAATGTAGGTTTGTTGTTGTTTCTCTCTTTTGTCGAAGAATTTCGAGTGTCGTCAACTCAACTGAACAGTTCAGTTTTTTTTTAGCATTGTTTTTTAAAATTGTTGTTTTGTTTTTTATTTTATTTTGAAACCCGCTTCAATTCCAACACACTACTACCCCCTC